AAGGCAGCGTGTCTGGCTGATGCAGTGTCCCTGGACTGATTCTTAACCTCCTGTGGTTTTGCAGAAGATGAAAACAATCAGGATCAGTGCCACTGGGGATGCAGCCCACCTGCACTGCACTGCAAAGCTAGTCCCTCCCTGCTTTTACCCTTTTACCCTTTTTCCTCTCTTAAAATGTTGCAGCTCAGTTGTGCTGCTCCATAGGAGCCTATTGCAGTGCCACCTCATTGATCACAGCTGCTTAATTTCCTGCTTCTTCAGCAGTATTTTAAAGCTTTTTTTACTATTTTTCTAGGAAATGAGTAGATAGTTTCAGGCTTTGCAATGGAAAGCGGCTTTGTTAGTATATGCTCTGTTTAATATGGCACAACAGCAGCGGCACAGGAGACTGTCAAAACTAAATAGCATACCTTCATTTGGCTAAACAAGCCTCTGCCCTACCCCCTGTCTCAAAGGTTCCTTCCAGGGAACAAAAGAGGTTTTCCTCAGATCTGACCCCAGCTCATAATGTGACATAAAAATGCCCATGATGAGAGGCCGGTCTGTTGGTTTTCCACAATGTTGACCTGGCAGCACTGCTGCAGTATATGAAAACCAGGAGAAGCTTTGCTGCAGCTTGCTGCAGCTGCAGGCCTGTACTTGGTGCACAAGTGCAAAAAGTCTTCTATAGAAAAAGCGTGAATGAACTGTCTTCTGAAATATTTTTACATAGTGATGCAGTCTGCTACATCGATATTGATGTTCTCAGTGTACTGTAAGGTTTGCTTTGGTGTGTTAGGAGAAAGGAGTAGCTTTTACACCATTTAAGTAAAGAACACCTGATGTTTAATAGGCTGTTGTAATCAGGAGATACATAGCAATTTAGTATTGAAATCTAAATCTCATAAAGGCATCTTTTTGAAAGCAAGTAATTAGGGCCTGATAATAAAAGGTTATGTGGCCAAATTGCCTTCAGTGAAAGATGTAAAAATGTTCTCTGCTGACAGAACTTACACCAAAGAGTTTTAGGTGATGTCTCTGGGTAGAAAAGTAATTTGAACAGTTTTCTGATGTCATACCCAGGCATCTTGCAACATTGTGTGATGTTCTTTCAAATCTCTTTTAGAGAATTCCTAAGAGGAAAGGTAACTGACAACTGGCAACAACTAACAAAAAGGAAATTTTGAAAAATTGTCATACAGGTTTCAAGAAGTGTGATTGTGTTGCTAAAAAAGTAGGACCAGCAATATGTGTACAGCAGAAGATGCAGTTTCAGCAGTGCAGCTGAGCCCAGAGAGGGGGTTAAATCTAGAACAATGCGAGCATGAGCTCTGTGAGCCTGTAGAGGAGCACAGTGGGAAACACCTTGTAATGTTTTCAGAGTGGATTTTTTTCTCCCAGCAGGGTGGACAAACAGCACTAATTCCACAGGTAGGATGGCTGTGAATTAAAAATCATTTCTTGTACAGCAGCATGAAGAACTGAAAAGATTCATGGTAGAAAACTTGTTCAGATAGAGCACTCAAATTTTATTCTCTATTATTTCTCTTGAGTATTGGCTTCTCTTCAAAGACACAGGGACAAACAAAAACTGATTTTTTTAAGAAAAAAGCCCCACTCTAATTTGCTGTTCTCCTGCTAGCTATTTCTCAAGGCAAACTATCAGCAGAAGGTAATTTTTTCCTCCTTGTCCCATTGCATCTGTGCTCCCAGGAGGAGAGGGGGTGGTTCTTTTTGAGGGGTGTCTGGCTGCAGTGGTTGAACAGTTAAGTGCTTTGGTTTGCTGTCTTCTATTTCAAGAAATTCAGGCAATGGACTGCACTATTAGTGGGTGGTGGAGCATCATCTGCCAGTCTTGTTCAAGCTGTAGAGCTATTGAGATGGGCTCTGTGACTGTCTCTTCTGAGATATTAGGTAGCAGGAAGCAAGGCTTCTCTTTAATTGAGCACTCCTTTTTATATATAAAAATATCAGGAGAGTCAGGGACCCTGCACAGCTTACCCATTGCTCTAGATATTGAAGCTTTGAGCTGAATATGTGATGAGGGGCCTGTGCCTCTCCACTATGCTGTTAGCATGAACCAAAGGAGTGCCTTTCTGCTGAGGGTATTCTGAATTGACTTAATGGAATAATCTTTATCTACTTTTCCTGTCAAGCAGGAACCAGTTACTCATGAAATAAGAAATTGTGATAAAAACTAGAGATAGTCCTAAGAGGCTTATGAGATGCTTTCTGTCTGCACTGAAATGGAGTAGTAGAAAGGAGGTTTGATAGTGAAAATAGTACTTTTTAATTTTTTTTTGTTTTATTATGCTGATCCAGCATAGGAGTTACACAGCTGTCTGAAATCATGTACAAACTCTGACTCTATTCAAATCTATAGTTAAGCCTTTCCTCTGGATTTTGTTTTCATCTGCGAAGTTTATCAAATTATGACCTTCTGTAGTACTTATTCGATCTATATATTCAGGAATTTTCTGAAAAAATTGAAAAAAAAAGGTCTAAGTCAGTAAAGTCCTGATGCCTACATTTGGCAGCAGTGCTGTGCCTTTTGAGTGCCTGAGTTTTGGGTAATGGCTTTTCAGCTTGGGGCATACATTCCATGAACCAGTGACTCTCAGGAGTTGCTCAGTGCTCTAGTTTTGATAAAAAGTGATGGATATGTCTTGTTGGTCCTGCTTGTGATACTCAGCCATAAGCCAGGTTTGCTGTTAAACAGAAGCTCTCTAGGTTTGTGAGTGATGGAGTGGTAAACTTAAAAAACTTCCATCTTGGCAGCAGCTACGCTGACATTTCAGATCCAGCTCCTTGATTCAGTGATGGTGATTTTTACCAGCCAAAGGGCTTGTGATCATTACAGGAAGCAGCAACTGGCCCATACCAATGTGCAGTCAGAAAGATACATAGTGCGGTCATACCGGTTGCAGAACAGGAAACTAGTGATGAATAGAGGAGAAGGAGCTGCTGGTGTTTAGTCTGAAATGGCTGCAGGGCTCAGCAGGATGAATGCACAGCTTATCCAGGTCTGTCCAAGATAAAGCAATACGTTATACTTAATGTATTTGGCCAGCCAGCCAGGAAACACTGCATAAAATTTGTCATTTGTTCTTGAATGTAAGCAGTGATGAAATCCCTCCACAGAGAACAGATATCACTCACTAATGGATTTTGCCGCCCCAAAGAGTAATGACATTTAGGTCATTCATGCCCATGGTGTTGTGTCATCATTAGAAAAATGCTGGAGGAAGGACTTTCTTTTGTGAAATGTCTGGCATTCACAGACATTAATTTTAGACAGTTGGATGATGCTTTTTGCATTTTGTGTAAATTAACTGCTTACTAGCTAAGACCCACCTTTTCATTGTTGGGGAGGAAAATTTCATGCGTCTGGCTGAATTTCTTTGAACAAACTATTAAGGAACCCTAACATAACTGCAGAGAAGTCTAAGTGCTAGTCTAACGGAAGGGAAGAAGATGTAAACAATTCTTTAAACTTGTTCTAATTTCTTGGTTACAGGAAAGAAAAAAAAATACTTTTTTTGTGCACAACTTTTAGCCTACTTCTAGAAGGTGACAGCACTTTTAGCCTGTTTTCATCAGGCTAGCAGGTTAATAAAGGGCTCTAAAGTGCAGGAAAAGTTAATGAGAAACATTTATGGGATCTGGAAGGCTATATTCATTTTCTGGATAAACTAGTTGTATTTAAACAAAAACTGTTTTTCATAACTTTCAGTTCTTTTAAATAAATTTTTAAGGTAAACAGAAAGCAAATTTTGATACTGTGATCTGTTCTTTCTTATGTTTAGCTCCTTCCTACATTCCTTGTTGGAGGGAGGTATGTGCTTAATTCATTATGACTTTTTTTTTAGTGCCCATAAGAAAGCACTGTAGCCACTAGCATATTAGACATTTTGATTAAATCCCATTTCTTTGTGCAAAGACACATTTCTTTGTGCAGGGACACTTATGAGACTTTCAATTTCCTTAATGAAGCCCTTCACTGCTAGATGGTCTTCAGAGAGAAACCTGTGAATAAGAGAGATAACCTGTGGCAAAACAACTAGTCTGAGCTTTTCACTTCCAGCCTGAGGCACACCAGAGTGTTTGGGCTGTTTAGAAATACAGGGAGTTGAGGATTTTGCCCCTGCCATCACTAGGAAAGTGCTTTCCTTCTTAAGTGGTCAGTTGCCTGCTTGGAAGATCCCAGAGTTATGTACGCACTGGCTGTGGGTACTTGGTTCTGTTTGTTTGAGGCTGACTCCAGAATCCCTCTGACAGCAGCTTAGTGAACTGGCAGTATTATTTTTCTGCCATGTCCTAATGTGCCCAAAAAAGTAGAAGTGTGAGGGCTTTTTTTGTTGTTTGTTTTTTATTGTTTGTTTTGGTTTTGGTTTTTTTTTTTGCTTGGGCTTTTTTGTTTGTTTTGTTGGACATTTTAAATTTGTTTTTGTTTTGTTTTTTGCTTTGGTTTGGTTTGTTGGGAGGGGGGTGTTTGTCTGCTTTTCGTCTTTTGGTTTTTTCCAGGCAAGAAAATCAATGTAGGCAAAATCCAGAAGAAAAAAGTCAAACATGTTTATGGTGAATGGCTAAATAAAGCTGAATAAGGACTAGCCAAATATAAAATCAAAAGTGGATGCAAGTATTACTACGTTTTTTAAGATCTGCAAGCATAAGCAGTAGGTGGACATGCTTGAAAATTTTACACACTGTATTTGCAGCAATAATGTGTGAGAGCAAAGGATGTAGGAATAGTACAGAGACTTAAATAAGGAACTAGGAAATTATTATAAAAAATAAACCTTTTACAACATAAATGACAGGGTAGCTTCGAATTTGGTTAAAAGACTGCATGGCATATGCTAGGGAACAATCAGTAAAGGAAAGATGGATGGATGAGATGGCGGTTTTCTCCTAATCTTGGTAAATTACTAGTATTGGTGACCATAATAACCATTCCTAGATGTGCTGCATTTGGTGTTAAACTGATTGTTCATTAAACTTCTTTCTGTTTTTATTTCTAGGGCTCTTCCTTATCTTAGGCTTGATACTTTACCCTGCAGGTTGGGGATGCCAGAAGGCGATAAGCTATTGTGGACCTTATGCTTCTGCTTACAAACTAGGAGACTGCTCCTTGGGCTGGGCTTTCTACACAGCTATCGGCGGCACTGTTCTGACGTTCATCTGTGCGGTCTTCTCGGCACAAGCTGAAATAGCCACATCCAGTGACAAAGTGCAAGAAGAAATAGAAGAAGGAAAAAACCTTATCTGCCTCCTTTAACTCCAGTGGGGGAAAATAACACCACCATTGACTGGACAAGCAGATCCATTTACCTGTTTTTACCATTTGTGTGATTGAGCCCCATGCATTCCAGCCGTGAACTACTGAAAGGGTCTTTATTCTTTGCTGGGCAATGAGGATCAGAGAAAGGATCCCAAGAAAGCAGAATGTAAATACTTGGGGATATTTTTAGTTTCATTCTGTGATCAGGACACAGTGGAATATATTAATCCAACTGGGGATGTGAGTAATCAATCACATGTATATAGCAGGAATATTGTTAAAACTGACACATTCTGATTGATCGGATTGCCTAACCCACCTTGGTCACTTTGAAGAATTTGAGTTTAAAATAATAAAAGCCAGCACATTATTTTTTCTCAAGCAAAAGAGAAGCCTATTTTAATGAGGCTGGATTTCCAAGGGCTTCCCTCACTGGTGAATATTTCTTCACCATCACCTGGTTTAGTACCATTTTCATGGAGGTGCTTTTTGGTACTGAACTTCCTAGAAGTACAGTGCCTTCTTGGATATTAACTTTATATTGGAGAGAGCAAAACTGATGTTTACACCAATCTTTAGGCATTTAGAAAGTGAAGTGCCTGCCAGGTTTCTCTCTCTTGAAACTTTAGAGCACAAGGTGTGTGCAGCTTGTTACTTAGCAGGTAAATATTGTTTCCGCTGACTAGACAGAGAAGCTGTTGCTAGACTGGCTCTCACATGATTCAGATAAAACAGAAATATTTCTACAGCCTTTATCAGAACTTGAAATCCCAAGCAGACAACAGCTCCCCACAGTATCAGCCTTACCTGGGCTGCAGTCTCTCCTACAACAGTGGATTTCACATTGTACTTCAACGGTGTTACTTTTTCTCTGGTCAGTGATACATCATTCCCAGTCTACAGATCAGTCTGTCTCATGACCCACAGGCAAATGAGTCTTTAGGAAATTTAAATTTTTCAGAAAGCCATGACAAATTCTATATGGCTGGGAAGAATTTTTTTCCTTTTTTTAAATTTATTTTATTTTATTTTATTTTTTTTTGTGTATGTGTAGTAGTAGACCTTTTTCTAACTAAATCAGCAGAAATTAAACAGACCTTGCCACAAATGCCATTTTTTTCTCAAAGCCAGCTGGTTGTGTTATTTGTGGTGTTGCCCCACTTACTAGAACTACTTCTGATAGCAAGTTTGTAAGGTATTGTAACAAACACAGGAATGATTCAAATGTGCCACAGGAGCATTGGGGATAATTCATCCAAGAAGTAGTTCTAATTAAATACTAGATGAATTTTATATTGCTTTTCTTATTTCATGGTAGTTTAACATCATCCAGTGACAGTGTTGCTTCACTATTACACAAAGCAGAGATCCTTGTTTTTGCCTGGCCAGTCCTTTAAAATGTGCCATTATTATTAAAAAAATTGTTACTGTCCAGGTAGGTAGCTGCTTTCAATGCACTGCTGACGTGCACAAGTGCTGTTCAGCAGTCCTGACAGCGGGCCCAGGACAGCCTGGAGGTCCTGGAGGTGAACAGTCATGAAGCTGGGTCCCCATCCAGCATCTGCTGCCCACCACAGACACAGAGCAGCTCCCAGCCTGCACCTCTGCCTGCAGCCTGCGTGCTGGACAGATACACGTGACCTCTGAGACGCAGTGCAACAAGGTCAACTTCTGCCTGTATTCAAAAAGGGATTGTTTTAACCTAGCCTCTTGCATTCACCTGCTCCTGCAACCCACATCCACCATCTTCTACTTTAAAACTGTTCTTTTAAATACTGAATTTAAATCCCCTCCAAAAGTTACTGTCAGGGACCAATTGCCTGCACAAACCAAGATTTTAATAAAGCAAAATTGCCAGTACAAAGTGGTGCCTGAGGATGAAAATCACAGCCCGCACACCCCGTCCACACCTGTGTTTGTCTTGTTGGCTTTGCCCCATAGACACCCCATACATCTGAAGGACGTGTACTGGCCTTGTACCTGGGGTCCAGCAAGGCTTCCTCCATGCATCCCTCCTGTACCCCTGCTGGAGCAGACACTGAACTTGGGCCACCAGCTCAGCTCTGCCCTGTCCTTGGGAGCCCTGCTGTTGGGAAAAAGGGGACAAGCAGTTGTACGAGTACCTTATCAACCAGCTAAAAATGAATTACTAAGCAGATGTACAGTTTTAGCTTCCTTAGATGGGTAGCAATCCAAAGTCCAGGTAACCACTGCCAACAAGTCTTGACACAGTATTAGAGTGAAAAATGCTGCTTTGGCTTAAGCACTTGATTAGTCAGGTCAGTTCTCACAAAGGTCGAGAGGGCATACTCTGCTCTGCCTGAGAAGTAAACAATGAACAACCTTCATTCATGTTACTAGCTGACCTCTGCTGCAATCCACATGATGGCTAAAAAAATTTCAATAGTACCTTTTGTTTAGGTTTGATTTTTTTAAGTACAAAGGAGAGATTTTCAGTGGCACATACTGCTTTTGTTTGCATTCATAAGCAAAAAGAACCAGCTTTTCCGCTTGTTGCTGGTATATTATCAGCTTGCTCTGCAACAGCATAATTAACTAACTTGCAAGAATATCCATGTTCATCACATAGCACAGATAGAAGACAGGCTGGGAAGAAGTACAGAGGAGAAATAGTCAGAATTTCTTTTCTCAGGGTTCTGTTTTTCTAGCAAGTGATAAGGTGGTATATATTGAGAATTTTTTTTTCCCTGGATGAGGTTTTCAGGTGCAGGGTGCACTCACTGAATTTCACAGCTGTTTAAATTGCTCCTGAAGTTCACCTCAGCAGTAGCTTTCAAAGGCACTTTGGGAAAGAAAAAAAGAAAAATCAGCTTAAAGCTAATTTAATTGACTTCATGAGGGGGCTGCAGAGTGTAACTGCTTCTTAATGCACATGCACTGCATAGGATCTAGAGGAATTTGCTGTGGATTCTTTAAACCTGTGTGCCAATTAGTTAAGTTTTTTTTGTGGTATTGAAGATTTCTTCAAACATCTGTGGTTTCATCAACTTCTTAAACTTATATTCAATAAAGTGCCATAGACCATTTTTTAATTGTAGCATATTTAAATATATAGATATATATACACAGACTTGTGTGAGACGTGCAATACAAGGAATGGGTTTTGTAGGGGTTTTTTTGGTTGTTTTGTTGTTGGGGGAGGGGTTTTTGTTTGTTGTTTTTTGGTTTTTTTTAGTTTTAGTTTTTGCTTTTAAACAAGTAATTTGAAAAGGGACTTTCCAGGGAAGAAGTGGCTGGAGTTTAGTGGTGTGGATATAGAGTAATGCAGTAAACACTGATGTTGAAGATGAATACAACAGTAGTAATAGCAGCTTGAAGATTTAACAAAAATATCTTCTAGATTGATTTGAATTACTCAGAACACAGACACTTCCAGTGTGAAGCTGTGTCCACCTCTGGCCATTAACACTCTAAAATCTGAAAAGGGTCAGTAAGGTTTCTTAGAGTGCTTTATTTGTAATGTGGCACTGCAAAAAACATTGCTACTGAGCTATTTCTGGGTTGTCTATACCACCTCTGTATCTATTTTACTCAATAAAGTTCTCTGGATTCTGAGATTTTTTTTTCAGCCAAATAATTTCTATTTTGTGTTGTTATCTCCCCACTGAAGTTTCCCACATCCTAGTGGTAAAGGCAGAGGAGTTCAGGCCTTCCTTGAAAGCCATGGGCACTGGTGCCTACACCTCAAGGAAAGGGCAGAGTCCAGCAAAAGCAGAGCATGGCAGCAACACGTACATAGCTCCTTGGTATAGGAAGAGCAGCTGCAGTGATCCAGCTAGAGTAGCTTTTGAGCCATGGTTTATTTGTGGTACTGTTTTTCTGTTCTTGACTCACCACTATACTTGTTAGCATGAATGATGTACCTAATGTCTTCTTTTTAATCTGAATTTCAATTAAATGTGAGTTTTTGAACTTTTAACAGGAGTCTGACTACCTTAATACAAGCATATTGGACAAGTTTGATTCAATAGTAGCTTTAATAGCATTTAAGATCCCAGTCCAGTGATGTATTTCAGATTCCCATCTGACTTAAACACTTATTACTGCTTACTGATCAGAAGTATGTGATCTGAAATTGTAACTATGTGTTAAACAATACAGTTGCATTAAAGAGACTTTCTAATTGAATATAGCTCTGTCAAAATGTGTTTCATTTTGCAACTAAAGCACTGCATTTCCTTTCTTATGAAAAAGGGTAGTAACAGTTGTAAAACAAATACTGCTTCATCATACATAGATTTTTTAAATGGTGTTTGCCACCATTGTTTTAGCTGTGTGTTTTAGGTGTGTTTTAGCTTTCAGCTAAAGACTTTTAAAGAAAAGTCAGCATGTCACTTATTTGTCAGTTGCAATGGACCACTTCTATTGAATTTATATATAGTTAATCATGTATAATTTAAATACACCTTAACAGTTCCTGAACTTCAGAGAAGTAGCTCTTGGTTGCAACTTGGAACATTTAGAAACCTACAGCCCAGAAGTTAGGGGATAGAGGCCAGTGAGTGCACCACTACCATAGTCAATATATGGATTTCAAAACAGGTATAGATAGAACACTTATTCTTGCCAAAAGCATTACCTTCCTTTTTCAGTAAAGTTAAAGGAGTTGGCAATAGCACAGAGTTCAAGTCTCCATTTGTGTGCATTGTTACAGATTTCCATATTGTAACTTGTTCTCCAAGCTCCAGCTGGGTTTAGAATAGTGGAGCAATTACAAAGTCTATTACCACTGTTACAGTGGCATGAACATAAAGATGTTCTCTTGTTCTGCAATTCACTGAAAGCTTGTTCTCCAACAAATGTCTTTAATTTGTATCTTTGTATCAGTGAAATTCTGAGAGTGTATCTCAGTATCTGTAACTGACTTAAGCTATCACTCAGATGTGGTGGGATTTGTAATTTGGTCTGACCAAAGAAAATGACAAAGAATGCCAAATTTAATCACACAGATCTTAAGCTAGTGTCAATGTCCTCAGGAGTGCTTAGGTGTTTTCTATCCTATTTGATTCTGTGATTCTGTATTTTGACTTCTTCCAGTTGTCACGATAAGCCTTGTACAAAAAGTGTCACCCCACTGCCCAATCCAGGATATGCATTTTTTTCTTTTGAAACGTCATGTACTCCTCTATAAAGAACATCATGTAATCCTCTAAAAAAAATACAGGGGCAACAAAGACAATTCTGTACTGAAAACCAGCAACCATGCTTTGGCATGTGTGCAATGACTACAGCTCAGACATACACAATTGTTTAATTGGGCTATAAACATGATAAAATCTACTAGCAGCATTGTCAGCTGCAGCAGTGTCAGAGCAGCTGATGCCACAGAGGCACCAGTGGTCAGAGCAGCTGTTCTGTACAGTGGGCTCCAGCCAGTGTTGCCTACCCAACTCCAGCTGTACAGAGTCACAGAGCAGAAGAGCTGAGTGCACAACTGAGGCCAGCCTGTCTTTCAGGCCTGCAGCAGACCAGCACCAGCCCTGTAATACAGCCTCAAACATTATCAATAAAAATCAGTCCCAAACATTTCCCATCTCTCTAGCTGGAAGTTTCCCTTCCTGAATCATGGAAATAAGTAAGTCAAACCTGATTATTCTCAACACTCTAAAGAGCAGCTCCTCTATATTGGAGTATTTTCCTTCATGTCTGAGTGTATTGTAACAGGAACACGAAGCAGCACTCACTAAAAGCAGGACAGTACCTATCTATCTATCTATCTATCTGTGTATATGTATATATGTACATTACTTAATCAACAGGAAGCTCCAAGTGTATTGACAGACAATAAAACAAATGCATTGAAACCACAACTGTTCAATGTAATAATCACTGTCATCCAACAAAATGCACATTTTAGTTAAACTGTATATACTTCCATTAAACTGCTGGAAATTATTTTTTTTTCGGAACAAAATGTACGGCAGCATGAGCTGCAAGTTACACATCCTTATCAATGCCTTTTTTCTTTTCCCCTCACTATCATGTGATACTGTATTTAGTTTAATCCTTGTATAAAGTTTCACTGTTTTTTGCTGCTGAGCTAGACCTGCACTACTTCCTCTGTAAATCTTCCTGATTTTTCTAATTATGATAATAAAAGCCACTTGCAGACATAAAATTAATTTGTAGAAAAAAAATACAAACTAATTCATGTAATTTTAATGTAACTGAGTTAAACCTAATTAATTATCTGACCTACTGTGCCCTATTACAGATTCATAACCAGAATGTTCTAGGTGTGTGCCTTTTCCTTGACAGAAATAGCTTTCCAGAAGTAACACTGAGTGTTTTTAATTACAGTTCTCTTAACCCATGCTTTTCTCTCACTGTGTGCATGCTTTTCCAACTCAATGCTCACAACTTCCTGAGGAAAGTAAACAGAGCAAACCAAAGGAATTCTTTCCCACAGAGAGCACTAAAATGGTGTAATAATTCTAAACATAAAACATGACTAGATCATATAGCACCACAACCATGATTACATTTACAAGAAAGTACAAAACCTCTTCCTATAGTCTGGTGACACTGCCATCCTAGATCTGTAAATTACAAAGAAAGATCAAGTGGATGAAGAATTTCAATACTGACTGATGCATGCATGTGAAAGTGTCTTCAAAAACACATATCTGCCATCTCCCAGAATAATCCTGACTGTACATCAGAGCACTGTTTGCTATATCATTGCATGAATATGCATCATGCATCTGCGAACTTACCTACATCACATTTGTCTAGATGAAGTCATTTGGCTCTTCAGAGGAAACCCAGTAGTAAGATGAGTACTAGACAGCAGGTGCTGACATTACATGAAAAAATCAACATATTGTGATAGCGACTGAAAGAGAAAAAAGCAGGACAGCAGTGACAGAAATGTTGATTCACTGGCAGAAATTAGAAAAATAAATACTACCAAAGCAAATATTGTTTCAGCAACTTCATTTTACTTTCAGTAATGCTTTAAGAGTCACTTAATACCTGCAGAATTCCATTCAGTCATGACAGAGCATGTTTAATTTTAACCCTTGTGAGTTTACAGCACAGAAATGTAAACTGCAAGTATTTTAAGAATTTTCTTTGTAACAGTTAAATAGACTAATTCTCTTTAACCAGATTTATTGATAGTGGACATCCATTTCAGCAGAAATACAGCATCTATGTACAGAATTATAAAAAGCAAGTCAGACTTTTACATAGATCATCCTCCCTGCACATCAACCTGACTGTTAGAAGAAAGATCCCCATTATTGGTCAAAACTATGCAGAGCGAACACCTAGGAAAAAAGTCTTTTTGTTCTATGACACTGTGTTAATACAATAAATATACAAAACTTCTGAACTACCCAGACATGCAACAGAGGGACAGAAGAAGTGCATTTGTACAGAACCATGACATTCACCGGGATGGCAGAACATTGTTAGTAATTTACAAAATATACAAACATCCTCAGATAAATAAAAACAACTCCTAATTACAGATCAATAACTACTGACATTCCAGTGTTTAAACTTCATACTTTGTACTCTGTCACAATACTACAAAAAGACAACTCAAGTGGGCACCATACTCTGATCAATAAGAGATCATAAAATCTAATTTTTGTTAGGTACAAAATATTTCAACAAATCTCAGCCTGCTGTTGTCAAAGCTAAACAAACTTCTCCTTCCCTTTTGGGCTGCAAAGTGTCACAGATTTCTCGTTTAAAGAATTCAAAGGTGACACAGCCCCAAATTTCATTCAGAAGGCTTAAATCTGTACCTTCAGCCTATGATATTACAAATCAACAATTCTTATACACAGAACATGACATACGTTTTCTCAAGAAACCTTCAAACATTTGAGAAAAAAATCTACCTGTCAAATTCAGGTTTTATTCCTAACGTGTTTGGGTTTTTTTTCTGGTAATTATGCAATCTTCAACTTCAGTTAAATTTTAAGGATGATGTCCCTAGGATTCCTATCCAAGAGATACCAAAAGAATTCCCTAAATTTAGATTTAAAAGTAATCCATAGCAGAGTTCCTAGACACAACCCTCAAGGTAAGTTTAAAATACGAAAAGAACAATTTTGATATATAGCTTCTAGAATGACGGCCCCCAATCTCAGCAGAGAACAGTGACTTTGATCTGGAAAGCTTTAAAAACATTCCACGCAAATTCAATTTCAATGTTAGCATGTCCACTATTATGACATTTTAACAGCCTTGTTAGATAGAATATTTAAGCAAATATATTCATTACTGTGAACTTCAGCATAGGTGGAACTATGATGTTTTTTCAAATTCAAGTCTGGTTTAAAGGAATTAGTGAACTAAAGGAAACTAATAGGAGAATTCATGCTAACACTATATTACTGATTCAAGGATTAAATTAGGGGAGTTTTTTTTAACGAGCTTCTGTTATTATGAATACAGTGTAGTGAAATGGACTCTATGAAATTCAGTCCAGAACATGGAGAGCCTCAGAACTTTATGCTGTGTTATTAAAGATTATTCACCTTAATTAATTTCAGCCACAGTGTATACTTCCACAATCTGTGGGATGTCATCTTTCCATTTTCCAGAAGAGTTTGAAAAACTGTAAGTATTGTATATAAGTCTCATGGGGCAATCCAAGAACACAGGGTCTTCAGAGGAGAGAAACTCCCACTATACTAAGCCCTGACGATATTATATTCTAAAATATTGTGATGGTATGTACCATTATGGATTGTTAGTTTCACAGCACCAATCTAACCTCTTAGGCCTCCAATTCAATGAGTTAAAATTTAACTTTAATAAAGATAAACATTTCTCCCTTTGCCAAATCAAAGTAGTTTAAAAGTTTTTTCTTATAGCTTAAATCACACCACAGAGATAGTTAATATTAAAATTCATTCAGGTATCCATTAAATGCCATTGCTTAAAGAGCCTGACTTTAGACAATACTCCTGTTAGAAAATTGGATTCTCTCTCTCTCTCTCTCTCTCTCTCTATATATATATATATATATATAGTGTTTTGGACAGGCAGTAAACAGAGTGACTGTCCAGGCTAGAGATTTAGTACCACAGTTAAACATAAATCTATACCTGAAAAAAAACCCAAACAAAAAAACTAACCAAAGAAATCCCAAATAAAATAAAAATACCACTGCACATAGAAGAGGGACAGGGGATATCTGAATACTGAAGTTAAAAACAGCAAATATATACTCACTTAGCTCTGTGATTGAAATCACCAGTTAACTTCCTTAAACTGAACTATTCTATTACAGAGAATGTTTATGCCCCATACTAATTTCTCACAGGTAGAAAATACTCCATGGAAATAGATACAAACAAATGTTGTAAAGTGGTGCAGGTAAATTCTGGACAAAACACTACCTAAACATGATCAGGTAACTCAACAGTATTCATGCAAACTTACAGGTTTATATCAAAAGACTTACCTAAAAAAAAACCCAACAAAACCAAATAAGGAAAGAATTTATACTCTTACTTGTATTTAACCCCAGCAGCTGCTGAAATTGCAAAAGCAGTAGTCAAACCTAACCGTATCTCTCAGTCTACCCCATTTCTTACGGTAGAAATAGAGAAATCAGTTCTTGCAAAGAAAAGTAATAAATCCAGTGTTTCCTGAATGTAAAAAAAAAAATACTGGAGTGAATTGCTAAAAAACCTTCCCAATTTTAATACATTGATTTGATCATTAAATTTCACGGTTCATTCTCAGGCCAATTGTTGCAATTATTTATCTTCCATAAAATATGGAAAGCTTTACATTGTAGAATTCAACATGTTAAAGAAGGGGAAAAATGGTTTTCTTCTTAAAATAAATGAATTTAAACTAAAATAAACCAAATATTTCCCATTTAACCCATGCACAGCTGCAGAAGAGACAAACATGCTGTGTGAATTTTGATCTAGGCATTTAGGGAATACAGTAAGTGACTGGAAAATAAAGAACAGTTGAAAAGAACGGCAGCAACTGTTTCTCTACATCCGGTTACCCTTGAAGGCATTCTGAGCTGCACTGGTGGCCGCCGTTGAGGCGGCGTTGGCCGCAGCAGTTTGTACAGTTTTGTTGGACATCACTCCCGTGGCAAATTCCTGCTGTGCTTTCTCAAAGCTCGCGCCAGTCGTGCGGTACAGCCCATGCACCTACAGAGGGGAAAAGCAATGAGAAAATGGTGCCATGCTTCCCATTTCTGAGTAGACCAATAGCAAAGTCTCAAACACAAAGTGGAGGTGTGAGGTGGGGAAATGTGGTTAGTTCACGTGTTTGAGAGAATCCAGAGATGAGAACATGGAAATTTTTCGCACGAAGTTTTGATTTTTATGTTGTCCTGTTGCACACACAATTTGACAGTGAGGGATAGCTATAATTTTCTGCAAGTTCAGAGGGGTCTCATCATGTGTACTAAAATGTGTGATGTATATTTGGTGAATTTTCCTCTACAACAATTTAGAAACATTTTAATTACTGTGACTGATTACAAGATGAAGTTACACTCTGACTGAATATTAAAAATTTCAAAATACCCTAATTAGACAGGTAAACATTTGCAAAACTAGTGTGATGACTGACAGCTCTGCATAATAACCAGAGGAATAAACAGTATGACTTAAAAACACCCTTAACAATATGTCATATAACAAATAAAAATCAACAAAACAGACAAAAATCCTGATTAACTTTCAATTACCTGAATATTAAAATTCAAATGCTATTTGTGACTCAGTTAAGTCACAAAAAGGTTGTCAAATAATATTGCAAAGACAGCTTCATTTCAGTGTAGCAGGAAAACTAATGTAATTTTTTTCTCTGTTACAAATATGACTATTTCTCATGCATAAAAATATATCAAGTCATATATGAATATGCAGATCTTTGGGAAGAATCTGGATGCGTATAGTAAGAAAAGTGTAAAAACATATTCCACCATCCATTTTTCTTGCTTGTTTCTTCTCATCTATAGAATATTTCTACAGAAAACAAAATAGGACATCTCCAGGTGCAAACTTAAAATTTCTAGTTTACAGAGAACAGGTCAAAAGAATTTGTATATGTGTAAAATCTTTAATTGTAAATGAGGTTGAGTTACTAGAATTCAGCCAACATATCATCATCATAATTCCCAGCTACATTTATCTCAATGACTTACTAGCGCATCAGTATCTTTACCTAGATCTGTGTGGAAATTCACCAGAAGTAACCACAGAGAAAGAGTTTATCTCTTTGAGTTTTCATGCTCCTGCATCATTAGCTGGCAATAAAATATTAAAAAACAAAGATAGATAAATAAAATTCCTTTTCTGAGGTCCTAAGCATCTCTCTCTTCTATTGATTTTAATAGGAATGATTTTGGTAAGAGCTGAAACTTAGCAATCACTTCTCAGCGCCTGCTGGACAACCTGGCATCTACAGCTACAATAGTGTCCAGTGCAGTCACCTACTCCTTTGTGGTAGGATTAGCTCTCGGGTTCTCTAATTCAGAGCTACCCTTCCCCATTTGCAGAAAATACCTGAATTGTACAAACAGCATTTTGTAACTCCACAACAGTATAAGCAAAACTGTATAGTTATTAGTAGGTAAGGCTCACCTTGAAAAATATAATTTAATCCCCACTACTTTGTGAAAGAGTACCTGTCTCAAGAAAGAAAGCAAAATCCAAATCAAACATAGGAAACAAAGGAGGGGAATAATATGTAACTTACCTTTTTAAACATAACTAGTGAGATGACAGCAGATGCTGTGAAAAGTGCAGCTATGATTATCATCATAATGCCAACAGGAATACTCTTATTGAGTCCAGTAAGAGATGAAATCCACCCACTGAAGGAAAGAGAAAGAACAGATTTTACTAGTACAGCACATGAAACATTTAATCAAAGATACCCTCATGAAAGAAAAAATCTATAACCTCCTGGTTCTGAACCATTTTGAGTATTTTTGAAGAAAAATAATGTGAATTTTACATAAGCAAATTTTGGTTCTATGATATGTTTTTAAAGCTTAATTTCCATTTCTTCAAAGAAAATGCAGCGAAACTATATGAAAAATTGTTGTAAATATTATTAATCTTGCGCAAAATTGTAGCAAAATTAGAGAGCTGCTTCTCAACTTCTTGAGGTTTTTTTGTTATACTGTCATTTCAGATTGATTCAGGACTACATGAATTCGTAGATGAGAAAATATCCCTAAAAAGGTAGTTTCTAACTTTTATAAGGATCAGGAAAATACCACACCTATATAGCTTCCATGTGAAGACTCATTTAATTGTATCCACACAGTGATGCTTTCTCAACTGTGGTTAATATAATTTTTTAAGTGGAGAGCATCAGACAAAATAATAGAAAAAAACCACATAAGTATGTACTTCAAGCATTTCCCCATTCTTCAAAATTGAAACACCAACAAATAAGATTTTCAGACCTGAAAACTAAACTAAAATTAAAAAAGCAGGTTGTCTTAAGAACAAAACCCCATGCATTAAGATGAAAAAGATTTTTCCATGTTGTAAAAAAAAAAAACCAAAAAAAACCCAAAAAAAACCCCACAAACAAATAATGTAAATCCAAACCTTAGAACTTTCCCCTTCACACCACTTTGATATCCACTATGTCCCACTGTAATCTACCACAAAACCCCAGAACTTGAACTGTAACTAGGATTTTCTGATGATCTGGCTACTTTCAATTCTCCTTCCCCAAGTACACTTAAAAGCACACTTCCCAGACTTGGATGAATAAGCAATAAAGAATTCCATAGCAAAAATAATAAACAGGGAGCTTTCCTTACATAACAATTCTAAAGCAATAATGTTTCATCTGCTTTGCATGAATTTTGAGGTTTGCAGCAAACAGCACTGAGAAAGGGAAGTGTCATTACCCAACTACAGCACTGCTACTTGTGACTCTTGTTACTAGTTGGCTTGCTAGAACCGTGCTTTTAGTTAATTCCTTTATTTCAAAGAGAGTTTCTTCCCTATAGTTTCTCCTTGTGAAATCTAAATATTAGACCTCCAAGACTCAAAAAAAAAGATAATATACATACAAGCTTCATGTAAGAGCTTATGTATTTGCAAACATTTAAAAGAATTATATTCCTTTATTTCTTAATTCATATTACATAATATCGATGTGACTCAAAAAAACTTTTCAAATAATATCAAAGACATACTACTATATTCACCCAAATACCTTGTTTACTCATTCTACAAATTTTAGCCATAAATTTCTCATTGAGTAGGAAGTATATTAATATAATTAGAAATACCTAACAATATAAAAAATATGCAAACAATACATTATTGGTGTCTAAATTTCTGCTTTCCTTTACCTTAAATACAGAACAAGTAATACCTCCTTACACCACCAAAATAGAGGAGGCAGCGCATGGAAAAGTTCAAAGTAGTTTAAATTGAAGGATAAAATTTTGACCAGCCTAGTAACAGAGGTATCTCACTTTCTCTGGATACATTTCACCCACTTCTCCTAGTTAAGAGCACTCCAAAAATGCTTTCTTTTGAGAGTTAAGTGTAACATTCCAGTGAACACAATATTATTCCTTTAAAAACACAGACTGTATTACAGTTGTTACTTCAAATATGAGTGTTTGTTTTACAGACAGTACAACACTATGGCAAACAGAATACTCACCAGTTTCCCCATCTTTGAAATCCTGCAGCTTGAAGTACATGTACAGCAAACTGACAGATATATACAAAGAAGAACACAAAGAACCTGAATGAACTGTCACTCCTGAAAGAGGTGGGGGGAAAATGATTAAAGCAGCCAGAAAAATCATTATTTTTATTCATATTCTGTAGTACCAATCTAACTTCTTTCTGCATTAACTAGAGAAAAAGTACTTTCATTTATCAAGTGACCTAAGTATCAGCAATTCTGTGTTTCTTTTAGAGCGTTTATTTACAAGAAGTGCTCTTTCTTCTTTAATATAGTGATTTTGCCACCTGCATCTCTAAGAAAGGTGAGAATAGTTCTGCTCAGCCCAGAGCAGGGCCTCTTCAACTAACCATTTAAGTTTGTATTAAGAATTCTGCTCCACTTTCAGAGTGAAGTTCACAGTGATGGAAAGATGGGAAGAGAGTATTTAACTTGTGAAAAGAAGTAAAATATCATATGGAATTACTGAAACACAGAGCACACCAAAATACTGAAGCAGCTGTTATTTTGAAGTAAAATGTACAAAATACATTTGCTGTTTAAATTACTAAAATGCCAGCCTTACAAAGACTGAAAATAAATAAAATTTCAGAAACAGCCAAATATAAATGTACAGGCAAAATTTCAAAAAAGACTCAACTTATTGCTGTTAAAACTATTGATCATATGTTATGCTTTCTACTAGAGTTCAAAGTAGAAATCATTTAGTTAAGTTATTGAAACAGATTTTGCCCTTAAAAGCTCTTTCTGCAGAAGGGAGTTTGTAATTTCTATACCAGTTCAACCAATGTTTCAACAAGTTCAGTTCAGTAACTGTTTCATTTTCAGCTGAGCAACTGACAAAGTTGAATATGCAACTAGTAGTTTTCCTTCTTCAACCAACCAATTTTGTCTAAGAAAAGCTATGGATTTACTAGACAGGAAATGCAAGTTAAACTATATGATTCCTCAAAGATTTGTGGATACAGCAATACCTCCTTGGTTAGCAAAAATAAATACTTCCTGTACTCTAAATGTTACAGTTAATTGCAGCTTCTGGCCATCAGTCTTAATGCAAGGGTACTTTAGCTGAGAACATCCTGAATCACTTCAATGTAAAAAAAAAAACCAAAAACAACTTTAGGAGTACAGGACTTGAAATCTCTACATGGTGATCGTCACTAAGAAGTTTTACTTTGCATGCAAACACACCATTCTCCTCTTAATCACACACCTCATGCTTCTGAAGTTTGCAAAGATTACTAAAACTAGGAAAAGTACTAGTTTGTTTACTATCTGTTAATTCTTAAGAATCTCAGGCTATTTCAATTACAGATACCGTAGGTGTCTATCACTTAAAAATACATCACTTAAGAGTAGTTATTTATGAAGTTCATTCAGGAAGCAAAATATTTAGGACACTATTGACTACTAACCTACTCACATTCTTGGTGTGAAGAGACAGAGATTTAATGAGAATGTTCTTTACAATTGTTACCAGCCCTTATTAACTTTAACAAAGTTAAGTATTTCCAACAAATATTTTGTCTGTGGTAAAAATGATACATATTTTAAAGGATATTCCATTATATTACTATCTATTGGCATCAGTATTTCAAATTCAACAACTGAATTAATGGCAAACATAACCTTTATTTCTAATGAAAGCACTGTAAAGGATTATCATCATGATTATCAAGCAAATTCTTGAATGCTATACATTTTGACAAGTTTCTGAATATCCCAAGTCAACTGAAGTTGTTACCTGAAAGCTCCATAAAGTGGTCTGTACCAGCAGACAAAAGAACAAGGAGTAAAAAGCAAGAACCAGAGAATACTCAATCCAAAATCAACCCCTCGCGTAGCATCAACATAAAACCAGGCCAAACATCCAAAGATATTAAGAAACAGTGTCACTGTATGGACTGTAGAAGAAAAAGCAAAATAGTCTTAATTAAGTTATTTTTAAACAATAAATTATTACAACTGCTGAAGTTATACCTGAACTTTTAAACATTTTAACAAAACAGCATTTTAAACAAAACATCAGTGTGCTGACAATACCAGTACCATCTCAAAGCCTTTTGTAATCAATTGATTTTGATAGTTTTCTAAATTTCAGGTAAATCCTGTATTCACAAGTGAGAACACTCTACATGAAAATTCAAGTACCACTAGCTACCTGGAAATGGAAAAATATCCTGTCATACCAATAAAACACTTTCAAACATTAAATTAAGAAAAAAGAGGTTTCTACAGCTGCAATAATTTATTTTTTTCTACAGTAGTAATATATATATTTATGAGACTACTGAGTATTTTTTGAGAGACACCTTAAAATGACAAAGTGCATCACAAAATAAACACCGTACACATTCAAATTTGAGAACAAAAGTTTCCCAAATAATTTTTCAACAGAAAGCTTTGTCTTCCATATAATAAAACAAGAAACCCCACTTATTAAGAATGTTCCTCAGTAAAACATGGTCTGCAAGAAGCTGTTGTAGATATATTTTTATATCTTATATTTTAATATAAACTTCAATATATTTTGTATATTCAAATGTTACTTAGAACATCTGCTTTTTTGGTGACCTGTGTAATTTTCTCATTGGCAGACTTTGTTACACATTAACTATTCAATTTCTACTAAAGAAAATGCATTTGAATTATGACTTCACATTTTATTTCAATTAAGTTTACTTCTTAGAACAGAATAAGGCAATACTAAGAAACATTAAAACTACTACATTCATGCTATCTGACACAGAAGTTAGCTCTGCTAGACTTCAGATATGAACATGAATTTCTCTCTTTTTTCAGCAATAACCAGTGATTCAGGAGGGATTTTGCTGCCTCAGAGAACAACTTCTTTGCTGGTGGATCAGGATAAAGTAGGAGATTTATAACTGCACAAACATGTTCCTGACAGCAATGCTTTTTATTTTATTTAAGTCCAGAGCAATATTTTAGTGATTCTACTGGATGGTAAGGTTAACAGAACAAGCACGATACTGAGGATTCTGAATAAGAGAATCCTGAAACTCTTTATTGCTGTCTTAATTATGACTTGAGCTCTAAATCAACACAGCAGGAAAGAACTCTTAAAAGCAATATGCATAGATCATTACATGGAATTCTGATGAAACTGAAAATATTTCCTCAGATAAATAATAATTTCCTGTAAGAGTCACCAGAATCAAAACACTTTGTTCTTCTAAATAAAAGGCAATTATTGCACCTCCATATTTTAGCACTGCCCCAAGGGGTCAGCAAAACAACTCATTTCAGAATTTGTGTGTTTATGCCTCATAAAGAAACTAAACAAATCCCAGCTCCTGCCTTCCTTTGGTAAGTACAAGAAAGGTGTATTCTCTATTTTTCTACTCAATACTGGAACACATGGAGACTTCTATGTTACAAGAAAAATTCATATTCTGGTGGAGCTTGAGCTTTTCAAAATGACCTTTTTTTTTATATATGTAACTGCAATTGTGGTAACAGGACAAGTTTTAAAAGAGTACCATCAGTGCAGAAGAGGCTGAAGCATCACACCCACAACTGATACTATACAGGGTGTGCTTCACTACTATAACAGAGAGACTCAGCTGTACAAAACAAGCATTAGCAAGCTATAGAGGAAGACAGCAGACTTGACTGACAAATCTCACTTCACTAAGCTTGCCCTTCAAGCTTCTGCTTGCTTGCTGCAAGGTACAGAGAATCATTTATCCTTTGAGCCAACACCTTCACTAAGGGATCTAGGCAAGCTTAGCTCTTATATGAACAGACATGTATTTGTGAAGTTCAGGGTAACAGTTTTAAGTACCTTCCACCTCCTTGCCTCAGCAAATTAAACCATAATACAAGTTATTAGAAAATAATGACCACCTGGGGGCTGAAATCACCTAGGGCTTTGGCATGCAATTTCTGTATGACAACCTCAGAGCTATAACAATAAGAGTACTCTGTGTGATTGAAGAAAGCCTTCTCCTAGTTTGTGTGTGGAAGCAGCTGAAGTAGGAAAAAAGGCGTTCATGCCAGAATAAGAGTCAACAATGGAAGACTGCATTAGTTTAATAAATATTAATACCTCTTCTTGTTGGTATAAACTTCCCTGAAGAAAAGAATTCTCCTTAGATTTATTCCTTGTTTTAATTAACTACACTTTATCATCCATAAGTGTCTCAAAGTTAGTTGTAGATAAAGACCACAAGACTTTACTGAAGATATTTGGCATGTACATTATTAAGATGATTTTGCTATTCCATTTGAGACTGTATGAAAACAAATTTTTGTACTAAGTTTAATTTCACTAATGTTTCATTGATTATATCCTCAGGAAACCTAAGTCCACATCAGAACACATGACTGTCACCCTGGATTGGAACTGCCTAAAGGGAAATGAGATGCCTGTAGAATGGAGAGTTTTGAAGCCACAAGGCAACTCACAAGTGAGGACTGGGATAATGAAGTTTGATCACACATAACCTTGGAGCACCAGGTAGCTTCAGATGTTGTTTAGGCTTTTGTTCCTAGTCTGTTCCGCTCACTTGGGAGAGACATGCTAATATGCCTTACAAAAACCAGAAAATGGTTCTCCATTTCCATGGTTCTTCCATGGGGAAAAATATATTCTAACATATATTATAACATAAAATAAGCATTAAGCAGTCTTGGATCAGCACATAAACATGTGCTACCTACAATATGAAGGTACTTTTAAAAAATTTCCTGATGGTACTTACTAAAAGACACATAATAATATGGAGTGGACCAACAGTGAATCTGTGTGACAGCAACCAGTCAAACCTCGATAAAACAACACCCAAAAATAAAGGCTGAGTGAACTATGATAAGTAAGGCAAAACGAGATGACTAATGGGGATAAATACCTTTTCCATTACAGCAGTGGATAGAACAGGAAAGATCAAACAAAGGAGGGGAGAATTAAATTAATATACCGGGAAACATCTAATTCTAAAAGACAGCAACCCATTAGAACAGGCTTGAAGGGAGTTTGTGAAGTGTCTATCATTGGAGGTTCTCAGGGACAGGTAGAACAGACATCTACACAGACTGATATACAGACATATATGGATATACACCATTTATCATATCCTCAGACAGAGGATGAGATGAAACTCTACTAAACAGAAAAAGAAAAAAAGTTGGCACTCTAAGGTATTATTTTTCTACCAGAATCTCTTCAGTTTGTATCTTCAAGTAAGAACTACCCTCTGAAAATCAGTGGTGTTTATTTGGCACATGCTATCAGCCTGTGGGGAAAGTAGCTGGAAAACAAGCTTTTGAGCCTGTTTTTGACTGTTAGCACAAGTCAAGAGACATTGTACTTGACATTGGACAAAGTAATAGCAAAATTTTAAAATCAGTAGTCAGTGCTAATGAGGTAGAAAAACTGTCATTTTCGTGTGCAAGTCCTTAAAGCACCGATGGTCACAAAGCCAAGATAGAATAGAAAAACTCCAATGGCAACTGTGAAAAGTCATTGCTAATTAATTGTTATAGTTCACAAAAACATGTGAGCACTCAATCTGTTAAAAAAAAAATAAATATTCTCTCCCCTGGGGAAAAAATGTTCAAAGATAAAACCATATCCAATAATTAGAAAACTCAAACTTCTGATACAAAAGGAGAAAAGAGAAATGAGCTAATGAAATAGGGATACAGAGTTCATGTTTTTTCATGAAAGGAAGAGCATATGGCTCTTACGTAAAGACACTTCCTCAGAGATATAGAAACTAAGAATGATGATATAAAATTAATTCTAACTGTGGAGACATAGAAAACTAAACTAGAAAGTTTGTTCCCAGGGATACTACAAAGGAAAAGTACTGACTTTATAAAGTACTGAGAATGCGGTACTAGATTTATCCAAATGTGACCATGTTCACAGAACTCCTAGACCTTATAAGATGTAGGAATAAGTACCTCTCCAGAGGAAAAATAGTCAATGAGAAATTAGCCAAACCACATAGATGCAATCCTAGGAAATTTCAAGTGTCAAGGATTGACTCAACAGCCAACTCTAAGGGATGGGATTCTATACACAATCTTTTTTATCTTTTTTTTTTTTAACCATGAATCAGATTTTGTCTTTTTCTTTATCATGCCCTGTTCATACTTCCTGAGTATTATATAAGTCAGAGAGTACTACAGCTAAAGAGCAAAGAGTGCAAGATGATGGTTAAAACCTCAGTCTACCTACAAGATTAGCTGTCACATAAAAGCACAGTTCTATATATTTTGAAATAATATAATATTGCTTCTTCCTTTACTTGTTGGCATAAGAAAGAAAATTAAGCACAGTATCAACATTCCAATTCTAACTGCCCAACTTCACCTTGTATTTGAAACATATGCACTTTCAGAACTCAGTCCTGCAAATGGCCAGAACTGGTAAGCATCCTAAAATTCTGAGTATTTCACCTTAGATTTCATATACATCTAAATTATCAGTCAACTTTATGAGAGTGACCAGTCATACGCTCTATAGCTGCTTATTTGAAGATTAACGATCTAGCAACAAATATAGAAATCTGTAGATTATGATGAAGTGGAACTGACTTGATCCAACGCTGTCTGCTCATTTTATGTGTTTCACTTACGTGGTTCCATCACAGCAACAGGATTACCAGAGTAACATATAAAATTATGGAGATTTCCTAACTACATCTTAAGCTATGAAAAAAAAGTATAGAAAATATCTGAAACCCACATTTTCTTAGAAGGCTACAAATATATTGAAGGAATCAAAATATCTATATCTTGCAATTTCATCAGAGTCAGAGTATTTGTCAGGCTTTTATCAATCACAGTGGACAAGGCAGAAGAAACAAGTGTGGCATGTGCACACCTATTTATTTCAGCATTTCTCCAGTCAAAACACAGGCTCTCAATGAGGGCAAAATTAATCCTACAAAGATGGTGTAGAGCATTATTTGCCTGCAAAGGATAGTTCTAACATGGACTGATTCTTCTATTTTTAAAAATAGGGTAAAATGATATTAAGCCTTTGCTATAGATTAAAACCATATTAAACTATACAAAACTATGTATATTAAAGCAAATGGATATTATACATATTGAACTCAAAATTCTATTAACTGTAACTGTGAGATTTATTCCTTAACATATAAGCAGATTTTTAAAAGAGTAAAATTATTTCTAAGTTAATAAATGGTCAAAGTTCATTTTACAACTGGAGAAACTTAAACCAGACAATTGCAATAAGTTAGAAAGAAATTGCCCTACAATGATAATCCTTTTTTTTCTGTTGAAGCTTTTATGACATAATTCAATACTTTTAAAACTAAAGCTAACATAAAATTTTGCTTCAACATATGGCTTCTGGATTCAAAATATTTTTTTATTACAGATGTTCCAAAAGCCAAAGCAGCACGTATGTATTTCCGAGTTTGAATAGGCACTTTATTTTTCTTAAAAAGAAAATACTTACACATCCACAAATAGTACATAATCTTTACTGTCTTCTGGAATTCTACAGGAATGTCTACTGAAAAATCCTGGTAAAAACAAGGACCTACAGGAAAATTCTCAGGAAGAGGTGGCCAGTTATTTTTTCTACCTGCAAAACAGAAAATAAAGGAAAAAAAAAGGCCTTTATAATGTAGTTTCAGGTTTCAGTCTCTGTATACTTGGAAGAGATATACATTTGAACCTTTTGTAAACTGTTTAATGCATGAGTTTCTCAAGTGGATGAATAAATTGGGCTACCAAAACCCAAGAGTTTTAAGAGCAATCCTCAATATAAACTTCAGAAATTAAATACAATTAAGTGTAGGAAGGTCAAGGAAAGTGCAATGTTTTATCTACATAAAAGACTGAGCAGGCATCTGACATTTCCTAAAAAGTAAGAGAATTTTTCACAAAGCAGACATGGATAGAAAAAAAAAATGAGAATTCCTTGACTTATATATGAGTATTTATTTCCCTAAACTCCCACCATACTCACATAGCCTGTTGAATACAAAGATAGGGGACTGAAAAGCACTCTTCATTTTCAGAATCCTGGAATTTTTAGTTGAAAAGTGTTTCTAGTTTCCAATATGGTTTCCTGTCAAAACTTACCTAAAAGGCAGGAAGTCTCAAGAAACACAGTTACTGAGATACTGAGTTACTGGTCTTTAAGTATCTTTTCTTAACAAGAATATGCCCTAAAGCATCACTGTATTTTGATACAGTTGTATAACAGAGTGAGGACACTGCAAAGGACACAGGATCAGACACTTGGATTTCCTGTATGCTTATTTGATCGCAGGTTAGAGTATACATTCTGCTGAACAAAAGTCATATCAAGCACAGACTTGGAGATTCAGCTGAGATAATCACTGCAACAAACCTTTGCGATAGCATCTCAAACTCTGGATGAAAGAGATATATTCATCACCATGTGACCAAATGAATAAGTTGAAATAGGAAGCAGCACACTTTTATTAGCTTGAATGCAATACCACACAGAACCTAAGCAGAGAAAGCCAAAGGCATCAAGCTGAGATGACGTACCACCTTGAAGATCTTTCACCGTAGTTAAGACAACATATTGTCTTAACGGTATGTTAAGACAACATATGACAACAGTGTCCTAGATGTGTAGCCAGCGTCTTAAGGCAACTGAATGCAAATAGCTAGAGAATTGCAAAAGACCTTGCTCTCCAATCAAGACCACTCTATAGTGTTTTCAAAGGTGTCCAAATTAATGCGCGTGTCCCTGGGTTCCAGAAATGCAGTACACAGGATAGTTCAAAGTCGTGCCAGAGTAGGTTCATAATAGACATAATGAAGCATTTCATTACCAAGAAAATGGTCAAACACTAGAATGGGTTTCCTAGAGGAGTGGTCAATATCCTCAGCCTGTCAGTGTTTCAGGAGATATGAACAATGCCCTTAACAACATGCTTTAATTTATTGGTACTATACAGCCATTGTGAGTCAGGACAGCAGCAAGAGCAACTGAAGTAAATTTGCGGGTGAAGATCAGACCAAGCTGTCCAGAAGTTTCTTGAGCTTAGGGAAACCTTAGCAGCAGGCCAAAGCCCAGAAGCTCTCACTAACCAGTCAGGCATGGAGTGAGCATTACCGGGAGCAGTGTGGGAGATTTAATTGACTTTAGGGAGCACAAGTGACCAGGATATGGTGCATCAAAAAGATGTGATGCAGCGGTTTGTGCAGAGGGGTGAGCAGGGAGAGAGCTGCAGTCCACAGGCAAGTCCATGACTCAGGTAAGTGCTAAGTGCTCTAGGTCTCTGCTATAGTGGTGGGCACCTGTCTCAAAATTAGTGTGTCTGAGATAGCCCCAGAGAAAGTCTGACTGATACATCCACCAAGGGAACTGGTAAGGAAAGAGACACGAGTACAGGTGGTAGCTTGCAATGGATGCACAGATATGTCTCCTGGAGAAAAGGCTTGCACCTGAATGGAATGTGCATAGTTTGATGAACTATTGCAGAAGGTGGACAAATTGAAAGAGGCTGTGCAGTGTTAGAGGGATGGAAAGGGAGATAGACAAATGGCTTCAAAACCATACACCTACAATGGACATCACTGAGTGTGGACACCTTGGATCCTAGTGACCCACAAATACAGAGCCCAAGTCCAACCTCTACCCTCCAACTTCCACACCAAAACAGATATGATGCTTTAAAGGCTTTAGATGTCCATTAGCAAGTTCAACAAGGAGTGTCTGGACCAGCAGGACATAGTCGTTACCGTAAGAAATGCTGAGTGGGGGACTCTCTTTGGGTCACTGAGACACCATCCACCAGTCTGATCAAGAATCCCAAGGGGCAATGCTACCTACCAGGGACTAAGATCCCTGATGCTGCCAAGAGGGTAGCCCAACTAGTCAAGAGCATGGACCACTACCTGCTATTACTCTCTCACATGGCTACAAATGATACCACAAGTCAAAAAATAGGCAAGATCAAGGAAGACTATAAAACACTGGCAAGACAAATGACAAACACTGGTGGCCCAAATCATCACCTCATCTTCCTGGTCACAGAAACGGACAACCAGAAGCTACCACACTGTGCAGATCAATAGCTGGCTTCCTGACTGCTAACAAGGTTTTGGTTTTGGTAACAATGGGTTGTGCTTAAACGATTGTAGCCTGTTAGGGAGGAAGGAATCCACCTGTTTAAAAAAAGGCAAGAGAATTTTTGGCAGCAAGATGGCCAATTTGGTGAGATGGACTTCAGACTACAGGACTCAGGGGGCGGGGTCCAAAGTGGCTATGATCATTCTATTGCTTCTTTCTAGGGAGAAGGTCATGTCAATCAGTGCAGCAACAGATGTTCCTTGACTGCTTCTCAAGATGAGAATCATAGGTCTAATGACATCAAGGGTGCTCATGACTACAGTGAATCCTCTTACACTCCATCTAGGGAATCTGGATGCTTGATTTCCTCTCTGAAGTGCCTGTACAAACACAGAGCAGAATGGGGAATAAACAAGAAGAAATGGAAATCTATGTGCAGTCACAAGGCCATCATCTCATTGCAATTACAGAAATATGGTAGGATAGTTCACATGACTGGAATAATGTCATGCATGGCTGTGAATTTTTTAGGAAGAACAGGTCAGAGAGGTGAGGTGGTAGAGTTGCTCTTCATATGAGAAAGCAACTAGATTGCATCAAGCTCTATTCAGGGGCAGACAAATGAGTTGACATTTTATGGGTGAGAATTAAGGGACAGGTTAATAAGGGTTGTGGGTGTCTACATATAGGCCACCTGACAAGCAGGAGGAAGTGATGAGGCTTTCTACAGACAGCTGGCAACAGCCTCCTGGTCACAGGCCCTGATTCTCCTGGGGACTTCAACTTTGTCTCCAAACCAAGATAACAATCAAACCAGGAGGGCTGAAGATGTGAAGGCTGAGACCAGCCTTGACCATAGCAACCATGAGATGGTGGAACTCAAGATCTTGTGTAGAGGATGTAAAGTAATCTAGAACCCCAGACTAGAACCCTAAACTTCCAGAGAGCAAACTTCAGCCTCTTCAAAGACCTGCTTAGCAGAATCTCATGGGTTAGGGCTCTAGAGGAGAAGAGGATCCAAGAAAGCTGGTTAATATTCAAGCATCAGTTCCTCAAATTGAGTGTATTCCCATGAGCAAAAAATCAGGAAGAGTGGGAAAGAAACTTGCATGGATAAGCACAGAGCTTCTGGTAAATTTCAAACACAAGAAAAAAATTTATGCGACATGGGAAAAGGAGCAGGTCAAATGGGAGTACTATAGAAACATCATCGGAATATATAGGGATGTAACAAGAAAGGCCAAGGCCCATTTGCAACTAAGTCTGTCAAATGGTATCAAGGACAACAAGCAGGGCTTCTACAAGAACATTAGCAGCAAAATGAAAGTTAGGGAAAATGTGGGGTCACTGCTGAATCAGATAGGTGGCGTAGTGAAGGAAGATAGAGAGAAGGCAGAATTACTGGATGCCTTCTTTCCTTCAGTGTTAACTGCTGAGGCCAGCCCTCAGGAATCCCAGACCTTGGGGCAAGGAGAGGAAGGCTGGAGAAAAGAAGACTTCCCCCACACTAAAGGGTTTGGTTAAAGATCAACTGTGCAGACTTCTAACACACATAAATCCACAGGCCCTGATGAGATACACCCATAGGTGCTGAGGGACCTGGCAGATGCTGTAGCTAAGCCACTCTCCACCATCTTTGAAAAGTCACAGAAAACAGGAACAGGGCCCGATGGCTGAAGGAAAGCCAGTGTTACTCCCATCTTCCAAACTGGCAAGAAGGTGGTGGAGCCAGGAAACTACTGTCTAGTCAGTCTCACCTCCATCCCTGGAAAAGTGATGGAACAGAACACTCTGGAGGTCATCACCAAGCTTGCAGAAGAAAAGAAAGTCATCAGGAGCAGACAGCAGGGATTCCCCAGGGGGAAAAATCATGCTTGCCCAATCTGACAGCCTTCTGTGATGGCAGGGCAGGATGGGTAGATGAGGGGAGAGCAGTGGTTATTGTCTGCCTCCACTTCAGCAAGGCTTTGAGCACCATCTCCCACAACATCCTCATAGGTAAGCACAGTAAACGTGTTTAAGATGAATGGACAATGGGGTGGACCAAGGGCTGGCTGATGGCAGAGCTCAGAGGATCAGGAACCAGGGCTCAGAGGGTCAGCAGAATCCAGCTGGAGATCTGTAGTCAGTGGTGTTCCTCAGGGATCAATACTGGGTCCAGTCTCACTCAACTTGTTTATGACTGGCCTGGATGAAGGGATCCAAGGTACCCTCAGCAGGTTTGCTGATGACACAAACTGGGGAAGTGGCTGATACACCTGAAGGCTCTGCTGCCTTCTGGCTGGACCTTGGTAGGCAGGAGAGAACCCTAATGAGCTACAACAAGGGCAAGTGCAGGGTCCTGTACCTGGGGAGGAATAACCCCAAGTACCAGCACAGGCTGGGGCTGCCTCACTAAAGAGCAGCTCTGCAGAGAAGGACCTGGGAGTCTTGGTGGATCACCAGGTGACAATGAGCCAGCAGTGTGTCCTTGTGGCCAGAGGACCCAGTGGGATCCTGGGCTGCTTTGAGAAGAGTGTGGCCAGCAGGTCAAGGGAGCTGACCTCCCCCTCTACTGGGCCCCAGTGAGGCCACACCTGGAGTGCTGTGTGCAGCTGTGGGCTCCTCAAGAGAGAAATGAAGCTTCTGAAGAAGCTCCGGTGAAGGGTCACAAAGATGATGAGGGGTCTGCAGCATCTCTCTTACAAGGAGAGACTGAGAGAGCTGGGCCTGTTTAGTCTAGATAAGAGAAGACTGAGAAGCGGATCTCATCAATGCATATAAATATCTCAAAAGTGGGTGGCCAGAGACTTTTCAGCGGTGCCTAAATACTGGGCAATTTAGCAAGAAGCAATGGCAATAAACTAAAACACAAGAACTTTCACTCAACATGAGGAAGAACTTCCTTACACTGAGGGTGGCAGAGCACTGGAATGGTCTTTGTGGAGTGTCCCTCTCTGGAGACCTTCAATACCCACCTGGATGCACTCCTGTTCCTGCATCACTTGTTCCAGGTGACCCTGTCTTAGCCAAGATGATCCCCAGAGTCTCCTTCCAATTCTATTCCAATCAATACTCTGTGATTCACTGCATGTCCCTTCCAAATGAAAATATTTTATTCTATTCTACAGAATTCCCTGACAACTTGAATTACTAAGGAATTATGCAATTTGGAGTTGTAACACTGCATATTCAAAAACAGACCAACATGTGTGAAAATAAAACAGAACTGTAGACAAAAGTTAAATGACCAGATAAAGTCAACCTTACCACACAGTGGTTTGCTTTGTTGGGTTTTGGGGTTTTTTTGAACTTCAGTCTGAAGTTCTTTTTGAAAAGGAATACTCCCACAGATGTACTTGTAGCAGAGCATCTTCAGTTAAGAGGATGTAAATCTTCTCACACTTGTGAAATTGCTGTAAAAAACTGTCCATTTTACACAGCACACAGTTTGTGGCATACAAAAAAACTAACAAAATATTAATAATATAACAGATCATTCTGCCATTTGTGTAGCAAATATTATATATATAAATATATATATAAATATCATATATATAATATATATTATGTTTGTAACACAGCAAAAGAAATCAAATGTTTCAAACCAGGAAAGTTCTCCCACAGCTATAAATACTGACAGATGAGAGATCAAAGAGATGTTACTTTAAGAAGTTAGTTTTACTTCATCTCAAAATGTTCCATTTCTATTCAGTAGTATTACTCAAATACTAATCTAGAATAAAAATAGAAAAGAATGATAGAAGAGATTAACAAGCTACAGAGGCCACATTTAATTTTTTTTCACTGAAAATCTGTAAGGACAGCCCAGTTTATTCACTGTATGCATTTTCTGAAGGGCAACAAAATTCCTTTTCCTGAAGACATTACAAAAATCCCTCTTCAATCTTCTTCACAATGTCACTGTAAAAGTAAAAGTTTCTAAGAAAAAGTGACATTTTTGAAATTTAAAGTATATTTTTCATGCATACCTCCTTGCTGACTGAGACTCTGCATTTCCCTTTCTCTGCGATCTAGTTCAGCTGCTTTTCTTTCCAGCTCTTCTTGTCGCTTTAGCAGTTCTGCCTGGGCCAAGGCATGCTCCTGAACAAAACAAGTATCACCAGGCACAAAAAGTTACACACAAAAAGTATGAACATGGCATAAATATTCCAAGTCTTTTCACTATAATTAAGCATCTCCATTTATGAAGACTGACCCAATATAGCAGAAATTCACATATTACCAATTACTTAAAGGCAATATTAATTTTAATTAGGAAAGCAGTGTTTACTTAAAAAATACATTACTCCAGAATCATATTTAAATAATTATTATTAAAAGGAACCTAGTTTCTAGAAGCTGCAGACAAACCTTTGCTATTTGTGTGTAGGAAGATGGTTCTTCTGTTGGTTTCATTATTGCTGGCTGGGTACTGGGCACATTAGGCATTTTCACATTTCCTGGAGGAGGCTAAGAAAACAAAAGACAATTACAGGGAAACATTTTCCTATTCTAATGAAGTTATTTTCATTGTATCTGTAAGAACCAATTTAGATGTTTTAAAGGAAGTGCTACTGATATAAACTAAAAACTTGATATGCTGGTTGCAATATTTACAGTCTTTAGAAAAAAAACATCCCCTGGGTTCTGTGGTGCAGCTTATCTTGCCCTACTTCCAATTAACACCCAAAGAATTTTAAGAATTCAGTAAAAGTAAATGGAATTTTAATTTTGTTCAGACATGAATATTAATACAGCCAGCTACTGTTTCAGAGAATTGCAGCATTTAAGAGTCATCTGTTCATACTCTGAAACACAATATAATTTATTAATAATGTCTTTCAGAGCCTTCTACTTAACAAAGACTTATATCACCTGGCTAACTAGAGAAGTAATGTAACACATGCAACTTTCAAATTTAAGATCCATAATCTATCACTTGACTATTTCACCAGTTTTTGCTAGGTATCACTCCAGAATTTCTGCTAGGTTGATACATGTGTTAATAATATAATTCCAGCAAAAGTTGCATTTCAGCCATTGTATTCAGATGATACAATCTGCTGCTGAAATACAGTAATATTTCTTTCCATAAGTACAGAAAAAAAGTGTATGTTTTTGATACTGTGTTTTCATACTTACTTAGCTTCATAATGTGTGCACAGGGAAACAAAGTTGTAGAGACCAAACTGATTTTAAATGCTTGAAGTTCAATATGGCTTAAATGTGTTTTTTCAGGTTACTATTCAAAGATCAAAACAATGCACAATAGGCACAGGTATTATAAATCGTCTACAATAGATGAAGAACCTCATGAAGAAAGCATCATATTCATAGAGCATTTCAAGTTGAAAGGGACCTATAGGGATCATGGACTACAAGTCCCAGCTTAAGATAGCTAAGCAGGACTTTCCCCTCATGGACCTGTTACACCTCTGATTAATGACTGCATTGTCTCTCAAGATTTTTCCCTTGCTCACAGAATAACCTTCTCCATGATTTTACCAGGCACTGGAGTGAAACTTACTGGCCTCTAATTCCCAAAATCTTCCTTCTTAGTCTTCTTGAAAACTGGGACAACGTTTGCCAGCTTTTAATCAACTGATACCTTTCTAGATTCCCAAGACCATTGAAAAATACCATGAAGAGGACCCACTATATGATCACTCTGCTCTTTCAGTACACTAGGATGAATTCCATCAGGCCCCATTGACTTGTGTGCATTCAGTTGGAGCAGTGAATCTTGAACAACTTCAGAGTTTACAAAGCCTGCAAGTCACCGGACTACAGGAGTCCCTGGGCCCATCAGTACTGTCATAGATAGAGGTAAAAAAGGCATTAAACATCTCTGCTCTGTCCACATCCTTAACTGTGAGGTGATTGACCTCATCAAGTAATGGACTGATATTATCTCTGAATATCCTTTTGCCATTCACCTGTTTAAAAGGTCATTTTGTTGTCCACCAAAGTGCTGTCCAGCTTGGATGCTCATCAAGCTTTAACCACACAAATCTCCTCCCTGCAGTGGTGAACAGCATCTCTGTACCCCTCCTGTGTCATCTGTCCTTGCTTTCAATGTCCAAACACCTCCCATTTTTATTTAAGTTCTAGAAAAAGATCCCTGCTCAGCCAAGCTGGCCTTCTGCCTCACTTCCTTGAATTACAATACTTAGAAATTGCTTGCTCTTGAGCTTAAAGATGGCTTTTTAAAAAATTACCATCATGCTTTTTAAACTCAGTTTGCTCTAACTCTTCCTGTCAAACTGAAGTACTTATTTTTATAACCCTAATCAAAGCTGAGAAGCAGAAAGAATACCACAGCTACTTACAATGAAACAAACAGAAGTATTCAAATACCTTGGAAAATCATTTAGCTCCCAAAATAACGCTCAACAAAAAACCCTGCAAAACATAGCTGCACGATTTAGGATTTTCCTAGAAGTGAGAAGTACTGAAGTTGTATCAGTGTATGCTCAAGCTCTAGCATTGTGCTCACAATCTGGGTTACATCCACTTAACCCGAAGTGGCCCATGTCAGAGGAAGCAGTTTGGCCCCTCCTCTCTGCTCTCATGACACCAACTGGATTACTGCATCCAGCTCTGGGGCCCCCAGCCTAAGAAGACCATGGACATAGTGAGTTCAGAGGAAGGACACCAAGACAATCAGAGGAATGCTGCATGTCTCCTTTGAGGATAGGCTAAGAGACTTGGGTTTATTCATCCTGGAGAAGGCTCTGGGGAGATGCAATAGCACCTTCCAGTAACCTGAAAAACAGTTTGAGCTGGGTGCCTCCTGAGAGGGACCCTAGGACAAAGAAGACTCTGGGCTTCCATACCTTCACAACCCATGAACTCCTTCTCCACATGCTCTTTATACGCCCTGCATATGCCTTTTGGTCCCATATGATTTTTGATGTGGGGCCTGAAGAATTCTTTATGTGTAGCTGTTTTTATCTGGACACACTGCAGCTTCAGTTGACAGTGGCAGCTTCTTAATCTTTCAGTTATGCACTTGTCTTAGAGGCTCCCTTCACAAAATTAAGTAACAGTTAAAGAATAGTTCAACTTCCCAATGTGAAAGTTTGTGGTTTTCAGCCCAAGGTTTCAGCAATAGTCAGTTTAAAAATAATCAGAATACAGTTTAAAAAAATCATCTAACTAAACTTGTTTTCAACAGCTAACTGGAGATAGGTGTTGAAAAGAAGTTCTCTCTTGATTTCCTCATACAATGAAGTTTATTTACTGGGGAGGGGTTAAAACTTCCAGAAGAAGCCAGAAGTGGATGATCAGTTTGGTTTCTTACAGACTTCTGTGTTTTTCTGATGTGTTTAGATGGAAGGATAGGGAACTACCCATGAATTCGCTAGACAAAAAAATAGCCCATTGAAATACACCTCTTGAAACAACAACAGAAAATCCAACTCCACTAATGATTTTTTCCCAATTTTTTAATGCAGTGATTTGAAACTGGTTGCTATATGCATTATTATGTATAGATATATATGGGTATATATGTTTATCTATATATACAGAGAGCTCAGAAAAATTTGAAGAAATTAGAAGCAGGAAGAGATTAAAAGTTTTCTTTTAACACAATTTAATTAAATGATGAAGCAGAAATACTAACTGTATAATCTAATCTTCATTGCTGATCTTCAGAAACATGACAAAAGATACAATGTAATCTCCATGGCGACTGTTGGAGCTGGAGACAAAACCACTGAAGATCAGCCAAGGGTATTTAATCTGACATTTACATCATTCCCTAATTTTTTAATTTTTTTTTGTTTAACTATGAAAAATAAGACAGATTTTGAAATCTGATAAGCATAAAGGAAAAAAAAATCCTAACAAAACTCCTGATTTCTCATGTTAGATACTGAGGTGGTGACACATGCAACCTAAAATCTCTCATGCCTACTTGTTCCTCTCCATGTGTCTTACATGCTACCTTCCTACCACTGAAGGTGAAGGATGAAAAAAGTCAAGGCACAAAAATACCACAAGTAAATAAACAAAATAAGGAATACTGAGAAAAAGCAGGATTTAATTTTTTCCCCCTGTTCCACCCTGTACCCAAAAAAACGACTGGTAGGAAGTGCCTCACTTGACAAAGGGAGCACAATTGAGATAATGTAACAAATTTTAGTATTCAGTTTGAAATAACTTTCTCACAGAATAAACATCAATTGAAATCCTGTCTAGATTTGAAATGGAGAAATATTTTTGCACTCTAGCATACTTCATTAACCTCCATTTGGAGAGAATGGGGAAAGAATCACAAACACCAGGCTGGAAGGAGACCTCAAGGACCATCTAGTCCAACCTTTCATAGCAAAAGTACAGTCTAAACAAGATGTCCTAGCACTCTGTCCAGCTCAATGTGAATGCTGCAAAATCCAACACTTCCCTGGGGAGATCAGTCTAGGCAAGTTGTTGATCAGGTTGTTCTCACTGTGAAACATTTTCCCCTTGTGTTCAATTGAATGTCCCTAGCAGTAATTTTTACCCATCACCTCTCATCTTTTGCATGCAATTTCTTGTAAAAATGGAGTCTCCATCTTCTCCATAGCCACCTTTTAGAGGCTGAAACATGGAATTAAGGTCCTCCCTAAGACTTCATTTCTCAAAGCTGAACAAACACAGTTTCCTTAGTTGCTCCTCACATGTTCCCAGGCCTTTGACTGTCTTTGTGGCCCTTCTCTGGATCCTCTCCAGCCTGTCCACATCTTTTTTGTACAAGGATCAAAGCTGAATGCTGTATTAGTTCTAGAGACTGCAAGATACCATCTTGATACAACCACTACAAATCTGGATTTAACTTGCACCAAAATTACTTGGATGCTTTTGCTCTGAGCAGGACACAAAACATAGAGTTCCTATCCCTATCTGACGGACAGCAGGGATACTGACAGGCAGAAACTTGGGTATTACCCCAAGTCTAAAATTCACAGACCCTGCTTCTGCCTCTGTTTATCCAGTCTATAAAGGCATTCACTTCCACTGTCTTTTCCATTACTCCCGTTGCACATATTTCTTTGTACACACATAGTATGCTCTTCTCTTGCACAAAAAGCTGTTAGGAAAACAGAGGTGAGCACTTAGAATTGTGAGTATTTGAAGGTACATTCCTTCAAATGTATATAATTACAGAATAAATACTTGTATGTTTAGCATTCACACACAGTAAGGAAGGGGTGTAATATGTAAAGGTTGATTATTACTGCACTTTTAGCTTTATTTTTTCAGTCTTACTCTTGTCAAGAAAACCTGTGGAAGTTCTTTACCTTGGGAGAGAAGTGTTCATTCAGTGGACAATTTTCATTAATTTGTAAACGTGTCATAGATTATTAACTGAATCACAGTGCACTGTAGATCAAACCATTGACTTAGACTTCCTCCATACTCTCAGCTTTTTGAATGACATTTCTAATGAACAATTAAGTTTTTTTATCCAAGCACACCTGACTGTTCAAAGCCTGACAATCTAAGCCATATGCTCCCATTCTCCTTTTACCACAAAGCTGCATGTTAAAATAAGTAAAAAAGTAATAAAACTTTTAATAATAAACAAGTCAGAATAGCTTGAGATTGTATTTTTTTAAAACAAGATCTACTTTCTTTATGATTTATGGTCAATACAAAGCAATTTTGAAAGTCTTCAAGCTTTATAAAACTAAATCTAACATAATACCTGATACTGTGACCTAAGAGAAAATAATTTTGGAGACTTGCTTAACATTGGTACTAGCTGTAAATAGTCTGCCTTAAACAGCTGATCCAAGGCATACCCAAAACCAAGCTTCTTCCACACAGAATTTTAAAACGGTATGAAACCTTACTGTTTCATTACTACGAGACTCTGCTCTCCCTGCCCCCACTATTTCCCATAATCTTTCTCAAGTTATAACCAGTAACAGATGGATCCATCCAATGGATCCGTCTAGTCATGAAGACTGCATCAAACTTTTAAGTAGGTTTTGGGGGAAACATATAACAATACCCAAAGGCTGATCAGAGAAATGCACCCACCTAACCATAGTGCTAATAAAGATTTTACTCAAGACAAGTTTGGAAGAAACTAACTTCTGTAATCGGAATGCAAATATGACCATAAATCAATCATCTTACTGCATAAACAGTGCATAGCCCGGGGCCCTTGAGGTCTCTCACACAGCAGAGGGCTGCACATCAGGACCTCCTCTTGAGTAGGGGCATATCTCAGGGTTACTCCTCCAAGCAGAGAAATTCCTTGCCACAAAAGATTTCCAGTAATTAAAATTGTAACTAAACTTAGAAATCTTAGCTAAGTGATAGAAAGGACTAATTGTGCACATGTAGTCCTTTAGACATATATCATTGGCAAAATCTGGGACTAAGTCTGGATCCACACATTGCAAAATCCCCCTTAGGAAGGAGTCCAGAATGCAATGGGGTCCTTTCCAAACCTCATGATTAAACAGGAGGACCTTCTTGACAGCTTTTTCTGCCCATGTCCTCTAGGCAGTAATCAAATGTACATCACCATTGAATCTTCTTGAACCACTTTACTACCAAACTTTGCATTTGCTATGCAACTTTGTTAAAATGTTGGTTTATATCAATTAATATAAGCTCCTTCTCTCTCACAAGTGAATTCTGTAGCTCCATCCATGGCATTGCAAATACTCAAATATGAACACTCCCTAACAGCACTACCAGATCATAAAAAATAGCACTGCATTTTAAAGATACAATTTTAAATGTTTATAAATTACATTGATAGACAATAACCAGCCACACATTTTGATAATCTTGCACATGATCTTCAATATCAAAAGCAGCCACTGAAAAATGCAGTTACGGTATGAATTTACTATCCTATTTCTTGTATTCCTCCCCACAATGGAAAAGAACAGCACAGGGTATACTGAAACTATATAAATTAGAGGCATAAAACAATTGTTTCTTTGACATAATTTTTTCCTTTCACAACTGTACCACTATTCCATGCCTGTGGACTGTTATTTAAACACAATGTTTTCCTTATTCTGAACAGCATTTTAATTAAGTGAAACAGAATTCAAAAGCAAAACCCTGTGTAGGTATGCCACACTCCTAAGCTTCAAAGCTAGTGAAATGCAGAAAACCACAAGGACAGTATCAGAAGTCTGTAAAAACAGGAAAAAGAAGTTAATAAAAACAGGAAAAAAACTCAGTTCTGTTTTGGTCCCCTTTCAGAAGGCCAATCTTCCTTAACAACTCAAAGGTCTTTGAAATCAACCTTGCCAATGCATCCTCCAAATACTGCATGGAACTACCTAGTCTTACACATCTTCCACTACCTGTAGCTAGCCCATTCTACATCAGTCCCAATTCTGAAAATAAAACCTCACAAATCAAAGCTTAACAGAATGATTAAGAAATATATGTGCTTACTGTTCTTGAATCAGAGAACGGATTGTACTCATCAAGCCCTGGAGGAACATTTCTTGTCACTTGCGTAACAGAAGGATCCTAGAAGAGGAAACAGTTGTGTAAATCTGTGCACATGCATATGATCAAAAAGTCAACACTCATATCATTACATCATATAAAAGTCAGACTTTCTTTCAAAGTAAAAAAAGTTTGTTTTCAGTAAAGAAATCTGTAAACATCCACCTCTTTATCTCCAAGCTAACATAATTTCATTCTGAGATTCTTATACACCTAGATTAATAAAGCATAAGAGAAACCCCATCTGTCATACCTTTGATTTATAAGGAAAAAAGCTTTGAACAGAGAAGGGGAAAAACCTGTATCCTGCTGTGTTGACCAGGTATGGACTCCATGCCTATACACTTGAAAAGCACAAGAGAATAAAAGAGCTTAATGTAACCCTTGGACTTCCCTACCTAGAAGTACATCCAACCCCATGCAGAACAGAGAAAACATTTCACAAAAATGAGGCTGAAGAAACAGGTTCCCACTATGCAAAAGCACTTCTGATTCAGCTTCTACCTGAACTAGTAAAATTAAGGAATAAAGTTTAATTTTTTCTGCCTCAATTAATTATACAGCAAGAAAGACTGCTCGCAATTTAGCTTAAGAAAATTATTTCAAGAATGAAACATTTCTCTGTGCAAAGCAGGCAGGCTTTGTTCTGCAGAAGAGCAGAAGTGCCCACCACAATGGATGACATCAATTTAGTTCGAAAAAACCTGTACTTATTCCATGTGATGCCTGGAATGTGGTTTATATTCAATGTGGTTTAACCACATTGTTTCTGTGCCCTAAAGTTTTTTAATTTTCAAAACATACTATGGATAAAAGATAAGCTTTCTTGAAAATTAGTAAATCTATTAATTCAAAATTGTTAGTTACATTTAGATTTACGTAACTGTACAAATGTACAATATTTTATAAATACACCAAACCCAAAAAAGAGCTATATATAGATATACTACTTATTTTGTAACTATTATGCTTAGATATAGATATCTTCTCATTCTCAAAGTCTTCTTCAACATTAGGAAACAAACTGGAGTTGATAAAGACAGAAGAAAATAAATATGTATTTATATATATTTACATTCATATTCCCCTTAAAGACAGATACATTTAAAACCTTTGCATGTGACACATGAATAACAAGAAGGGCTTCTACAGGTATGTCAATCAGAAAAGGAAAGTCAAAGAAGTTCACCCCCAGTAATGCAGCTGGTAACAATGGAAAACTGGTAATAATGAAGGAAGAGAAGGTTGAGGTACTCAACATTTTTGCTTCAGTCTTCACAGGCAGCTCTGCAGACCTCTGAAGTGGATGGATGACTGGAGGAGAACTGGGAGAACAAAGTAATACCCACTGCAAAAGATGAGGTTCATGACCACCTGAAGAACTGGAATTTACCTAAGTCTGTTGGACCTGACAAGATGCATCCCAGAGTCCTGAGGGAACTGGCTGATGTAGTTGCCAAGCCAGTCTCCATGACATTTGAAAAGTCACTGCACTCAGGGCAAGTCCCAGGTGGCTGAAAAAGGGGAAACATCGTAGCCATTTTTAAGGAGGGTAGAAGGGAGGACCCAGGGAACTACTCCCCTTCAGCCTCACTTCTGTGTCTGGGAGGATGATGGTACTTAAATTCCTGGAGACTGTGCTAAGGCACATGGAGGACAGGCAGGTGATTGATGCCATCAGAGACAAGTGTTACTTAATATCTACATTAATGACATAAACAGATTGAGTGCACTCCCAGCAAATCTGAAAATTATGCCAAGCTGAGTGATGCTGCTGACACAGCTGAAGGATAGCATGTCATCCAGAGGGACCTGGACAAGCTCTAGGTAGGGACCCATGGGAATCTCATGAGGTCTGACAAGACCAAGTGCAAGGTGCTGCACCTGTATCAGAGCAGCCCTGGTACCAGCCCAGGCTGGGGGATGGACAGATCACAGCAGCCCTGCCCAGAGGGGCTTGGGGGTGCTGGTGGGTGAGAGGCTGGACATGACCCAGCCATGGGCACTCCCAGCCCAGAGAGCCAAACGTGTCCTGGGCTGCATCCAGAGCAGCATGGGCAGCAGGGCCAGAGAGGGGATTCTGCCCCTCTGCTCTGCTCTGCTGAGACCTCACCTGCAGGGCTGCATCAGCTCTGGGGTCCCTGCACAGGAAGGACATGGACCTGCTGGAGTGAGCCCAGAGGAGGCCACAAAGATGGTCAGAGGGATGGAGCACCACCCTTTTATATAAAGATGGGCTGACAGAATTGGGGTTTTTTAGCCTGGAAAAAGAGAAGGTTTATAGATCACCTAATTATGGCCTTCCAGTACCTGAAGGGAACATACAAGAAAGATGGAGAGACACTTTTTACAAAAGAGCATGTAGTGACAGGAATAGGGGCATGGATTCAAACTGAAAGAGACTAGGTTTAGATTAGATATTGCAAATGAATTCTTTACTGTGAGGGTGGTGAGACAACGGAACAGGTTGCCCAAGGAAGTTGTGGATGCCCCATCCCTGGAAGTGTTCAAGGCCAGGCTGGATGGAGCTCTGGGTAACCTGGTCTGGTGGAAGGTGTCCCTGCCTATGGCTGGAGGCATGGAACTAGATGACATTTAAAGTCCCGTCCAACCCAAGCTGGTCTATGATTCTATCACATAAATATAATTTCTTTAAAAAATATAATAAGTGACTTAATCTACACTTAAGTAAATAAAGAAATTATTAAGCTAAATGAAATAAAAATCAAATTTAAATACAGAATCTGCTTTCTTAGAATAAGCATCAATTATGGCCTTAGCTTAGTCTTGTTAGCAGGAACTTTATCTGTGTAGATGCAGGAAGAGGACTTTCTTAACGGCTGCAGTCAACTTATTTACAGCTAGAAAAAATAACAGGGCAGAACTCCTATCAGTTCTAAAATCCCAAGGGAGAGAGCAAGACAGAACAAGACTATTTTTTCCAACAGCCATACTCACAAAATTGTTCATATGATGCAATTTAAAAAGTTTGCTACGAAAAAGCTTAAGAAAAATCATTGTCTCAAAAATGAAAAAAATTATATGCTGTATATTTTAAAGAAATTCATATACATAAGCATACTTAAAACACCCTCTGGTCACAAACCACCTTTTATTAAACCAGACATTTAGCTGCAAAGCAGTATTTCAATGATCACTGAAAAAGAATCACCCCTTCTAAAGATGTATACAAAACAATGTTAAATGCAATTCAACATCAACTTTCTTATATTTGACTCATCTTTAGTTGTTTCAAAACAGCCATGCTGGTCAGTCTCCTTCACAAGCCTGCCATAGTTACCATGCTAGACTCAAATACATTGTTACTACTGAAGAATCACCAAGTCCTGCATAAACTGGTAAACTAATTTTTACCATGTTCTTTGCTAAAGTGGCTATCAAGAAATGCTGTGCAGATGAACAACGAAAATGAGGGAAAACATGGTGAGGTGAGAATGTTCCTTGTCAAAATTCAGCCAGAAATTCATTAAAATGTTGAACAGGAAAGTACATTAAAAATATAAGAGTAATAAAATATAACATTTGAATTGCACATTGGTTTACTAGACTCATCAGTACAAGATGAAAATGAAGTTAAAACAAAGTTAATATAAATAAGACAATTTCATAATTCAATATACAGAACAGTAGAAAGTTATATATAGCTGAAAACTTTTATCTTATTGTGGTATGTCTACTGTAGCCAACAGCAAAGCTCCCAGACTAGTTGCTCACTCACTGCTCTCTGCAGTGGGATACGGAAAATAATCAAAACGGAGAAAGCAAATAAAACTTGTGTTGTTAAAAAAAAAAAAAAAAAAGTTTAAATGTGGGAGGGGAGAGGGGAAGGTAGAGGCAAAAAAAACCCCAAACTACAAGTCATCCAAAGGCAATTGCTTACCACCTCCCACCAAGACACACATGCCCATTCAGATTCTGAGCAATGGCTGCTTGGAACAGCTCCCCCTACTACCACCACCACCAGCGTTGCTGCCAAACACAATGTTATACAGCATGAAAGATCCCTCTGGTCAGCTGGGGTCAGTGGTCCTGCCTGTGTACCCCCACCCCAGCTGCTTACCCAATTACCCAATACTTTATTCCCTGAGGGGAAGCAACAGTGTGAAACAAAGATGGCCTTGGTGCTATACAAGCACTGCATAGCAATGTGCCAGCACATCAGTGCCTTCCTGGCACTGCTTTGGTCACATATCTGAAACACAGCACAACAGGGACTGCTATGAAAAAATTAACTCCATCCTAGTCAGACCTAGTACACTTATTCCAGTCTTTATATGTTAATATCAATTAGCACTAATAAAACACTTTGTTCATCCTTTCAGTATGACACCACTTTCAAAAATGCTCTCATATAATTGCCGCTTTCACAGAAAAAATGTTCAAGTATAGACATGCAACTTGTGATCACTAACCATCAGCCACACAGTGAAACAGTATGACTATTATTACCTGAGTAACACCTAGGATCTTAGGTTGAATTAGCTCCTTAAAAAGTATATTTCAACACTGAACTTTTGTTTGAAGAGTGCACTACTAACCAAATAACTCAGCCAACTGTCCCTGCAGACCATAAATTCAATTATTTGAATAACTAAAGTGAGACTAATGATACACCCACTGAACAGCAGCCATTTCCAAAAAGCACAGAACAGTGGTCAAGTCAAATTCAGAAGAGTAACCTATATTCAGAAATACAACATAAAAACAAAAATAATATCTGATGAAAGAAAGCCCTTTTTTCTCTAAGTGTTTTAGAGAAGACCAGGGTCAAAAACTCCTTAGATTACTTTGTACATTTATTGTGACAGTCCATGGACAAATAAAAGAAAACATATGTTGAGACAACAAGGTGTACTAGAGAAACAGACTTAGCACTCAAAAGCAAGTTCAACATTAAATAGACACAGTGATTAGAGCAAGAAGCCTTTTATCAGAAGTCCATTCCCATTATGAATTGACAATTGCTACACCTCTGCCAAATATTGCTACTGTTTGCTAAA